CCCCCCTCTTCTATGCCTTTGTTTACTCTCCACATCTTGTATGCCTCGGCTCTATTCCCACATCCTGTATGATTTTGCTCCATCCACACCTCCGGTATCCCTCTGCTCCCTCTCTGCCTTCTGTATCCTTCTGCTCCCTTCCCCCCTCCTGTAGACCTCTGTTCCAGCCTAACCTCCTGTTTCCCTCTACTCCAATACCACCTCCTATAGCTCTCTGTTCCCTCTCCAACTCCGGCATCCATATGCTCCATTGGCATCTGCTTCTACAAATTCCACCTCATGTACGCTTCTGCTCCCAGATCTTCATCCTCATTCCCACTTTCTGTATATTGGTGATCAATCCCTACTTTCCCTGTTCCTCTGCTACATCTCCAACTCCTGTATTACAGAACTGAGGTGTTGGAAAACATTACAGTGCTTGTATTTTAAGTTAGATGTGTTCAAATTTATTTTGCAGGTATGGAGAGAAAGGGAAAGCAATCCGCATTGAAAAAGTAATTTACACAGGAAGGGAAGGGAAGAGCTCCAGAGGATGTCCCATTGCAAAATGGGTAGGAACTCCAACCGTTCTTTTTGACATTTAAATCACATTTGGTAGACTTTCAGAGTTAAATGGCCATTAGAACTTTAGCAGATTTTATTGTTTTTTATTCATGCTGTATATCATGAGTATAGATAACATCTATCTAAAACTGCCCATGGATGAGCATGGTAGGCAGTGTGACACTTCTATTTTTCATCTCTGGGTTTTTGAAACTGGAGCAAGTCTGCCCATTCATGGTGATGGTCCAGTCAGATACAGGTATTCAGTTGCCATAAGTCTTACAAGACATTAAGGCAGTCCTCATATGACTGCTTCTTTCACCCTTGCTGTTTAATACTGAAAACCCCGGTGCAAGCCTTTAGTTGTGAGTGCAGGTCAAATGTCAAACGGTGAATATGTTATGTTTGATAACAATGATGACCGTTTACATATTTTAAAAGGATGAATAAGTAGTGGCAATCTGAGGGGGCAGAAAAATTACCCAATTCAAACGAAACGATGAGAGGTCAATAAACATTGACTGAAAATTCATCTGGAGTGCGAGTGACCTTTTCTACATTCAGAAAAATTACCCAATTGTCATGTTTAGTCATAGAAAAAAAATGAATGGTGTGATAGTGTAGGGCATAGTGCCATTGTCCTAGAAGTACCAGTTATGATGATAGTGAACCGGAACACCCGCTGGCTTCTTTTACAATAGAGGACTTCAATGGGAAGATCTCCATTGTGCACTTCAATTCTGCTAAACCTCATTCGCCTTGGAGTCTTGACCCTCTTGCTGCTCTATAATTTGAAGAATAAAAATATCCAACAGGAAGAATAAGATCCATAAGAATTGCTGAGGGATAGGTTGAGGTTTAGAGTCAGGGGTTAGGTTTAGAAGTTAGGGTAAGGGCTAGGTTGATGTTGAGTATATAGGGTTTATGTTTAGGTGAAATGTTTGTTTTAAGGATTAGACTAAAGATGAGGTTTAGGGGCTAGGATAAGGGCTTTGTTGAGGTTTAAAGTAGGGATGCACCAATACCGATACTAGTATCAGTATCGGTGATCCAATGCCTAGCCCAATACTTGAGATTCCAATATCAGGAAGCCGGACAGCGAGTCATTGCATGCTGCCGGCTTCCTGATTGGCTTGGTTGGCCGGGAGTCCGGCTCCATGCTCCCTCGTCACTTGTGACGAGGGAGCATGGAGCCAGCTTCCCGGCCAATCAGGAAGCCAGGCAGCGTGTCATTACATGCCCCCCGGCTTTCTGATTGGCCAGAAAGCCGGCTTCCCAGGCAAATCAGGGAGCATGGAGCCGGCTTCCCGGGCAATCAGGAAGCCGGGCGCCGTGCAATGACGTGTTGCACGGCTTCCTGATTGGCCAGCTTCTCAACCAATCAGGAAGCCGGGCAACATGTCATTACATGTTGCCTGGCTTCTTGATTGGCCAGAAAGTCGGCTCCATGCTTTCTCGTCACCTGGTGACAAGGGAGCATGGAGACGGCTTCCCTGCTAATCAAGAAGCTGGGCAGCGAGTATTTACGCACTTCCCACCTTCCTGGGTATTCATGAAGGCAGGTGGCGAGCCTGGCTTCCTTAATGGGACTTCCGGTATTGGCGAGTACCGGGAAAAAAATATCGGTACTCTATACCGAAAAACCGGTATCGGTGCACCCCTAGTTTAAAGTATAGGGTTTGAGCTTAGGTTGGCTTTATGGGTTAGGTCACGGTTAAGGATTAGTTGGATGTTGAAGATTTGTGGCTAAAATAAGTTTAAGAATGACCAACATGATTCCCATTTGTGGGTATAAAAACTAGCTTTTTAAGTGTCATAAATGTGTATTTTTTTATAATAAATGTGTAACTTTAGTGATAAATGGGTGGTGAAATATCACAAGCCACATAATTGTCAATTCTAAATATACACGCATATTACGCAAATTCATTGTTTGGTGCTGAAAATCCATGATCCATGATGAAAAATGTAGCACTGATATTTTTCGGCCAAATTAACCACACCCGTTTGCAGTGGCCGGAACAAATACCGGTGTATTAATATGCATATTATTATTCCCTGGCAAGTGGCCACTATTTAATAATGGTGCCTATAGCTCCAATATGGAAATGTGATGTAAACCTCAATGGTGCAGGGATTAACTTGATTCACATGAAGTTTCCTGTTAGTTGAACATTTTAAATGCTATGAATAATCAGAAATATTTTTGTGTGTCTGTTTGCCTCGCTTGTGGAGCTAATAAGATTAGGATTCTCTGCTTCTCCACCCTCTTCCTTGTGTTTATCCGCTGTGCGCTTTCTAAGAGCGGATGCCGTTCCTGGCTGTCAGGAAGCAGACTCTCACATGCAGGACGGAGGTGAACTGAGGACAAGACAGCTTGTTTATAACATTATTTATAGAGCCGATCTCAGGGTGGCCAGTATCACTGCTTACACTACTCCTGGGCTCAGCCACTGAATGATACAAACTGCACCGCTGTTATAATCCTCTAGCTCATAAAAGAATCTCCTTATAATTCCATGTCGTACCGTATGCGAGGAGTGAAATATTTTGTTATACAAAGCCGGCCATGCTTTGGGAGTGGAAGGATTTTCAGTCAGCTTTATAGATTGGATGCACACAAAGGCAAATTTGTGCAGCTTGGAAGAAAGAAAAGCGTTTCCAGTCTTAGAATGCTATCACCGTTTTAGTCTTACATATCAGCTCCTTATAGTTTTGTGAGTGTTCTATTTAACTGTAGGAATGGTTATAAAGAGAGGATTGAAAAAAACATGCTGGACTTCTTTGTTAAAGAGGTGTTCTACGTTTACATGGCCCCACCGAGTTTCAAGGCTGGACTGTGCCAAGCTGAACGCAGACAATTAGTGCCAAGTGTGGTGGTGGGTTCAGGGCTGCTGATAGAGTGACATTAAACTGCTGATTGGTCGGAGCTCTGAGTGTTTGCACTCCTGAAGTCAGCGGGGGGGGGGTTCACCAACGATTTTGCAAAATATCTGTGTGAAAGTCAAAATTTGTTTAAAGGAAAATGGGAAACTTCTCTGCCCTTGTAGTCACCATGGGTTTCAGGTTCTCATGAATTTCAGCTATGCCCCCAAAGTGTCCATTGAGCCATTTTAGTTTTAGGAAAAATGAGACACAAGTGTAGTCATTGGATCACTAATCAACAAAATGGTCATGGGTCCCTTCATCTGCCCTCTATTTTTTCTCTAATCTAAAGCAAGCTGTCTTGGTGATCAAACGTAGGCACCTTTGGAAGACAAACTGAGGTTTAGTTCTCCCTTTTGAGAAGTTATTTTCAAAAGTCTCCCTTTTTTACATGCCTGTGATCTCATTAGATTCAGTAAGGGGAATTTATCAAAACCGGAGCAGACAAAATCTGGAGCAGTTGTGCATGGCAGCCAATCAGCTTCTCTCTTTCATTTTCAAATCTTAACCAAACAAACTGAAGAGAGAAGCTGATTGGTTGCCATTGGCAACTGCTTCAGATTTTGTCTGCTCCAGTTTTAATGAATTCCCCCCAGTATATACAAGTATCCAGTAACACATCACACTTGGGCCACATTGACCAGTAACACATAAAAGAGGGCTTTTATACACAATTTTCTGATTCTGCAGTATTTATGGCAAATTAATTACGCTATTGTGTTTTGATCAGGTCATCCGCAGGCAAAGTGAGGAAGAGAAGCTCCTGGTTTTGGTTCGACACCGGGCTGGTCACAGTTGTGAGAATGCCGTCATTATCATACTAATCATGGCATGGGAGGGAATCTCTCGCCCCTTGGGAGACTCGCTGTATAGCACCATCACAGACACCATCACTAAATATGGAAACCCAACATCTAGAAGATGCGGCCTGAATGACGAGTGAGTGCTTTTCATATCTAACACTGATCATTGGCTGGTGTTCATCAGATTATTTGAGGACCAAAAGTCCTAATTTTATGATGTCTTGTGTCAATGAAAAAGAGGACATACACTCAACTGGCCTTAGACATTAACAAACAATGCAACTGAAAATAGTTCTCCTCTACTGCTTATCTTAGAACAGTGGTCGGCACTGGTAACCAGTTCGATTTTGGAAGGTCTTAAATGCAGCTCCCAATTCTTTTAAGGACTGTACATTGTATTATTATACCGGATTTATATAGCGCCAACAGTTTGCGCAGTGCTTTACAATATAAGGAAGACATTACAATCACAATACAATTCAAGACAAGATGGTAAGGAGGGCCCTGGTTCATAGATTTGAAATAAGTATGTACATATGGGCATCATGACTGCAGGCTATCAAGATCCCTGATCAACAATCGCTATTATAAAACATAAGGCACAACCAGTGCGCATACCTACTAAGCGGGAAGAAGAGCTTGCATATGTGACACTTATAATTACAAACTAAACATATGGTGATTAAACTGGTTACATTGAGCTGATCAAGTTTATCTACAAAACATTAGAAGACTGTAGTTTCCCCATAAAGAGGCTAGAAAAGTCAAGAAAAGTATAGGACAAAGGACTAGTCACCAGTATTACCTGTCGGCTCCCTGCAGCTAAGCCTTTCCCTAATAATGGCAACCAAACTCTTCTCCTCTAAGACCACTTCTTGAGATTAAGACTTCAGACTAAAGGTGGCCATACACTGTCCAAATTTCGGCCGCCTCTTGAGAAACCGGCTGAAATTCGCACAGTGGGTGTCACTCTCAGCAGCCTTTTGGCTTGCATCACTTAATCAGCTGCTCAGAGGAGCTGGCCGCAAAATCTTCAAACAGAGCAGGGAGCCAGTCAGCTGCCAGCTCTGTTTGGGTATTCTGACAGCGGCTGCTGGCAATGAAGACAGTGGGAGATTCCTCGATCAGCACACTTAAGCGTTGATAGAGGAATCTGTTCTATTTTTTTCGTTCAGCCCGCGGGTTGAATTAAAAAAAAAAAAGAACAGTGTATGGCCAACTTAAGACTAAGACTACTACTTGTGGCTCAACCCTCCAAAAGTGTTAGTTCAATAGTGTGGATGTATCAGGGCCAACAATGTTTTACCAATTGGACCCATAAGCTTGGATAGATGAAACGCATTCCTTTATTACATACATTTAGAAACAATGCATACCCTTGCCATACTGGTGGAGCCTGTTTTTTATAATATTCTCCCCCAATACTAATGTAAGTTACCCATTTTATACTGACCAAGCTTGTGGGTCTTATTGGGCACTGTTGGTCCTGATAAATCTACACTATTAAAATAAAATCTTTTGCAATGTTGAGCCACAGGAAGCAGTGTTAGAGGAGGGAAGTTTGGATACAATCTGGACTGCATGTGCCCCCCTTTTGGTTTTTAATGTACACGATGAGCACCTATTGGAAGCTTATTGATCCATTACTGACATTCCATGCCTTGTTCTGCACTCTGTTTCTGTGTGGAGGTGGCCATCTTGGTAGAGGAGCAGGTCTTTGCTTTGTCATGTAAGAGTTGTACCTTGATGACAGGTGATCTAATAACAGGTGGGGGGATATTCAAAAAGCAGGAGTAGGGGTTCACAAAGTACAGAGCCACAGAATGCATGAAGCAGTGCACGGTTTCCTCTTCAGTGAGCACAGTAGTTATATCACCAAATCTGACTCCTGATTTCCTAAGATTAGCAGACCCAGGCAGCAGTACCTTAGATCTTACACTGCAGATATACAGCTATGAGGCTGTAGGCATCCTCACATGTCAAGAAATGCACTGGTCTCTTGTAGGAGGAATTCAGTACAAAAGGTTAATTTTTGAGGGTACTGCTCAAGCACAATTACCATTTCTAGATGTTCCCAATAACATAGACAATCTTTACTTTTTTTTGTTTAGGTCCATTTTAACTTTTATGGTTGTTTTGTAGGCTGAGATTGCTCCATATAAAATCTGCAGCAGAAATAAATGCAGTTATTTTATTTTTAAAATATATTTGACGTATTTCCTTACTGAAAGGGAGATAAGAGTTCACATTCTGGTCCTGCTGAACTTCTCCAATGTATTCATTTGGTGAGCTTACAAATATGTCGTCTGTTTCAGCCGAACTTGTGCATGCCAAGGCAAGGACCCCAACACCTGTGGAGCCTCTTTCTCCTTTGGATGTTCCTGGAGCATGTACTTTAATGGTTGCAAGTATGCTCGCAGCAAGACACCTAGGAAGTTCCGACTGGTAGGAGATAATCCTAAGGAGGTAGGTGGCAATTATGTAACCCTGTAGCAGTGTATAAGTATGTCATAGATGCATTTCATTTATATTTATTTGTGTTCAAGCTTTCTTACTGGCCTTCGGCACAATGTCTTACATCATCACTTGTGTAAATAAGAACGTTTATGGCGACTGGAGAAGTCAGAAATCAGATCTTATATCTTTTGACTTGTCTGCACACATAACTGAAATACATCAGGTGCTGTCACCTGATTATTAAATGGGTGACAGCTGCTGCTTGTAAACACCAGATTAGGGATTCCTGCTGCAGGAAAACGCGAGTTCCTAATGCAATAATCCCTAATCGCACCTAAATTTACAGATATGAATGGGGCCTTATTATGTGTATATTAGTGTCCGTAGTACCATACTGGATATAGCTACATTTTATGTTGAAGTATGAAATTTGTCGAGTGGCCCCCAAGTGAATTGAGTTTGAGACCCCTGGTATAGTGGCTTTAGGAACTCGGTTATATTAATGATATTATGAACCGTATTAACCCCTTCGTGACGGGAGACGTACACTGTACGTCCAGCCACAAAGGGACCAAATGACTCGTCACGTACACTGTACGTGACGAGTTATTTGCTGCTTTAGAGGGCTGTTAACCGCTGAGAATCAGCTTTTAACATTCATTAATAGATGCCCTTACTACAGAGGCATTCATTAATGAAAGGGTTAACCTTTTTCAGACACCCGATACCTTAATATCGGGTGTCTGAGAGTCAAAGCAGAGCGGCGATTCTGACAGCTCGTATAGATCGAGAGAGATATCTCTCTGAAGCTATACTGGCTTTTTTTTTTTTTTTCTTTCACGAATAGATACAAAATGAAAAGTGTAAAAAAAATAAAAAATTTGTAAAAAAAATAAGGGACAAATAAGTGAATGTATTTATTGCATTTTTTTTTAGCTGTGCTGGTTTTGTAAAAAAAAATACTACAAATCAAAACTGGGAAAAAAAGTGTTTTTTTTTAATGTTCTTTTCCTCTTTTTTTATATTTTATTTGTCCTAAGTGAGGCGTTAGACACACATATGTGATATAAATATATAGCCCTATCTGTCCTCTAAAAAACAATATATAATATGTGTGGGTGCACTTTGTAAGAAAGTATATTACTGACGTGGAAGAATCACACAGCAAAAATGTCAAAAGTGTGTCAGTCATTTACGAACAGAAACGAAAAACAGGCTCAGTCATGAAGGGGTTAATGAATACAAAATAAATGGGATTATTTATTAATGAAAGTCGCAATGTGCAGTCATATATAGTAACCAATCAGAAAATAATATATCTGTTTTCCCAATGCTTTGCAGCTGAACAGTAACTGCAGTGTTCATAAGTAACTGTAGCATAACAATAATATGAAGCCCACAGGGTAGTAATTACTAAAGATATGATAACAATGCATTACACAATTCCCAGAAATGCTTGTGTCTGTGTTATACACCATATACAGTATATACATTCCAAGTGCACATGCAAAGCACCTGAAGGCAGAGCCGAGACAAGGGAGCTGTGTTTGAGCCAGTGGACAATACATTTCTGGTATACACACCTTTAAATGAAATGAAGTTCATTCATCCATCTTACTGTCTGTTTATACAGGAGGACGTTCTTAAGGAAAACTTCCAGACCCTGGCCACTAAGGTCGCCCCAGTTTACAAGAAGCTTGCTCCACAGGCTTACACAAATCAGGTACTTTTTTTTTTTACGCTGTTTTTGTTCATTTCTTTTGTAAAGATTAGTGCATGTATAGTAACTAAACATCTTATGAGATTCGTTACCTAGGCATAGTCATACATTTACAACCCTCCCACACTCCACAATGCAATTCTCGTACGTAAACCGTTTAATGTCATGCACAGTCATTGTACTTAGGTTGTGATGGTGTCTACGTTTATGTGTGGTTTGCTTATGAAACTTCGGGAACTCCAAATATATGTGTCATCTGGCACCTGCATGCTATCCAGAGCAAACATTTTCCCCAACCAAATGCGGTTTATCCAAACACCTAGAAGCCTAATTAAGTTTATTGTAAATGGCAAAGATGTCTTCTCACAACTAGTAACTTTTTAGCCTCAGTTTTCATCCATTTAGAAGAGACAGAACATTGAAATAGTGAGTTGGTTGCTTGGGCCTAGAGCATATGTACTGTTCTCTGGCCACAGAGATAAGATGGCAATGTACAACTGACAACTTATGAAAAATCAGTTCATTCCAAACTGGTACAGTGGTAGCTCGGTTCACGAACTTAATTCGTTCCACGATTCTTGTCACGAACCGAATTGGTCACGAACCGAATCAAACTGTGATCAGACGGCGATCTCAACTAGAGGAAGCAATGACCAGTGTCAGAGCAGGGAAGGTCGCTGTGGTTGTGTTCATCACCCGATGCGGAAGCAAAATTTTGCCGAACTTCCTGTTCGCGAACTGAATTGTTCGTGAACCGAGGTACCACTGTATATCAGTTTTTGTACATGCTAGGGCATTAAACCACCTGGCAGTTTTTATCTCAGGGAGCATCAAAACTTCCATGTGGACAGGAATAGAGTTGGGAATCTTGGTAGCGAGATCTCGCTGTTGCAGTATCTAAGAAGCCGAGCTCCACCAATCCATAGAAATATCAATGTTGGACGGATTGGTTCTTTAAAAAAGAATCATTGTTATACAAAGAACAGGAAGCCAGCAGACACCACTTGCTTGGACAAACAGTAGCTTATGACTGGCAAAACTGGTTTACTATTCCCTAAGAATTTTTAGAAATGTCACTTGCTACCCAAAGATAAAATGATCACCTGGCGGTCAGCTCCAAAGATCGTATTGTGTCTTTGGACATCTTTACAATTGTTACTCTGTTTTTATATTTTCATTTGTTAAGTCTCAAGGTATACTTTGTCTACAGATTACACTAAACAAAACCCATTTGGTTCCTCTCAGGTCAACAATGAGGAAGTAGCAATAGACTGCCGACTTGGTTTGGAAGAGGGACGTCCATTCTCTGGGGTGACAGCATGCATGGATTTCTGTGCCCATGCACACAAAGACCAGCACAATCTCTACAACGGCTGCACTGTGGTAAGGAGATCACTGTTGTATTTACACTATATAACCACATTTTGTGTGGACACATTTTGTGTGGACCACATCTCCTTTATGGCAAAACATATGTGAAAACCCCTACAAGTGAGTGAGTTCAGGTGTTCCCAGTGAAGGGTCCTGTTAATGCTACACCATACAAAAACATTTTAAATGAGTGTGCTCTTCCAACCTTGTGGCAACAGTTTGGGGAAAGCCCTTTTCTGTTCCAACATGACTGTGCCCCTATGTACAAAGCCAGGCCCATAGAGACATGATTGACTGAGTTTGTTGTAGAGGAACTCGACTGGCCTGCACAGAGTGCTGAACACAGTCCTATTGAACTCCTTTGTGATTAATTGGAATGTCGATTGTGAACCAGGTTTTCTTGTCCTTCATTAGTACCTGACCTTAGAAATGTTTTGGCTGAATGGCTACAAATCCATAAAACTCCAAAATGCTGTGGAAAGTAATTCCAGAAGAGTGGAGGCTTTTATAGCTGCAAAGGAGAAGCTAACTCCTTATCACCCATGATTTTGGAATGAGATGCCATGCAAGTTCATATAGGTGTGACGGTCAAGTATTCACAAACGTTTGGTCATGCAAAGTTCTCTTTATTGTGAATATTGCACTTTGATGCCTAAAGAAATAATAATGTTGTGTTCCCATGACTGAAAAATACATGTAGAGCATTTAGATGGAAAGACATCCGTCCATCCTTCTATCATCTGCAAATTGTGGTGGAGTGGAAGAAACCACAGTTAATCTTCCTTCCCATACAAATGCTGGATTTTACTCCATATTGTTTGTTCTTCATGGTCTTTTAGTCTGTGTGGCTCCTGACATATAATAAAGAGCGCTGATAACATTAAAGGCCATTGTGTCAGGTACTATGGTGAATGTGTTGCCAGTTCAGACACTTCCAAAGGTCTACACAGTCTGTTGACACCATTATGATAAATGTCACACTTAACAGGGGGGTATGGTGTGTGTAAGTGTGTTTGGTTTTCATCGGCCCTTTTTTTTTGCCGTCCGTTATTAGCTGAAACATTGATCCTTAAGCCCAGTATATATGGTACGAATCTCGGCCAGTTCGTGATGAATCAGCCAAAATTTCCACAGTGGGTGCTTCTGTCAGTACCCTTCCGCCTGGCACACCTCAATCAACCAATTGGAAAATTCTCAGACAAACTAGCTAGCAGCCAATCAGCTGCTGGCCGCTGTCAGAGTACGATCTAAGCAGTGGAGGATTCGTCCATTATTATTATTATTATGCAGGATTTATATAGCGCCAACAGTTTGTGCAGTGCTTTACAATATAAGGAAGACATTACAGTCACAATACAATTCAAGACAAAATGGTAAGGAGGGCCCTGTCCCTGAGGGCTTACAATCTAAAAGGGAGGGAGAAGTGATACACGAGGAGGTAGCTGTGTGGGGGTGAATTGTTTGAGAAAGTGATAGTTCAGAGGTTAGGTTGAGGTGGGATAGGCTTCCCTGAAGAGATAAGTCTTAAGGGATCGCCTAAAGGCAGTCAGAGTGGGAGACAGACGGACAGGTTGGGGTAAAGAGTTCCAGAGGTTGGGAGAGGCTCTAGTGATGTCCCGGAGGCGAGCATGGGAGGAGTTGATGAGGGAGCTGGAAAGCAGAATGTCTTTTGAAGAATTAAGGGGACGGTTAGGGTGATACTTTGAGACCAGGTTGGAGATATAGCCAGGGGCAGAGTTGTGAATGGCTTTGTAAGTGGTTGTTAATATTTTGAATTTTATCCTTTGGGCTATTGGAAGCCAGTGCAGGGATTAGCAGAGGGGGGTTGGCAGACACTGAGCGGTTGGTTAGGTTAGTGAGTCTAGCAGCTGCATTCATGATAGACTGAAGGGGGGATAGTCTGTGTAGAGGTAAGCTCATAAGCATCGCTGGAGGAATCTGTTCTATTTCCTTCATTCAGCCCGCGGGTTGAACGAAGAAGATATAAGTGTCTATGCCCTTTATTCCTGGGCACAGATATGTTGTCAGAAAAGGAAAAAAAAAACCTCAGGACAGTATTATCCCAGAAGATGCGTTCTTAGACTTTACATCCTTTAAAAACCACGTTGATTATACACTGAGTGGCCAGATTATTATGACCACCCCATCAGTACTTCGTTGGGCCGCCTCGTGACTCCACGAGATGTTGAAAGGTAATGCGAGGAATCTGACACTGCACTGTTGCCCTTCTGTTGTCTTGTACCAGTCTTGCCCCTCCCCCGTTCTGCCCTAACATTGACTAGTCGCTGACGGCCACAATTCGCACGTTCAGACCCAGATTTTCGGCTGACAGTCCAGTCTTTAAACACTGCTCTTGAACATTTAACGAATTCTGCTGTTTTGCTGATACTCGATCCATGACTCCGAGCGCCAACAATCATCCCACATTCAAATGCTGTTAAATCGCGTTGTTTACCCATATCTTCAGAAAAAAAATCACTTCTACTGTCGTGGTAAACAACCCGCTTCCCTATTTATAATGGTCTGGCCCTCTAGCAACTTCAGCGCCAAATTATAGCTAATTTGCCTACAAACGTCAGGTGGTCATAATAATCTGGCCACTCAGTGTATAGGTAGCCTGCTACACTACATAGATATGTATATTATCATCTGCACTGCCAATGACCTGTGGGGAGAGCACCAACTCACCATGTGGCTGAATGCAGATGGCCTTAACAAGTGGCATATAGCTGCATAGACAACACACAATTTGGCTTGTAAAGCAGTGCAGAGGGCAGTTATCCACAGAAAAGATTTCATTCTCGGATTCAGAATAATGAAATCTGATTGGTTGCTGGGGATTGCAGCACTTTGCACATCACCTCTATGTGAATATGTGGTAGTTATGTTCTGAGTATGTTAAATGACAATGCCATGTTCTTTTAGGAACATATTATTTGGGGTGTATAAAGCTCAATAAACAGAACAGTGACATCTGCTGTTCAAACTGATAAACTGAAAAGAACAGATCATATCGCTTGTCCTAGCTAAGAGGTGCTTGAACATTCCTAGGTAGCGACTGGTGGACGTCCGCCGTGTAGTGTTGATTATTTGGGTTTTGGTTTGGGAAGAAGTAACCAGCAGTTTTATATTTTCCCCTCTCAGTTTCATGCAGTGACTAATAGTTTACAAGTAAAATAACTATGACATTGCCCTTTGTAGGCTGTAGTTGTAGGCTCCAGTGACCACCAAATGGATTTGACTGCGGCAAAGTTAGTTATTATGTCATACTGTTAAGGCCGTGACACACTGCGCGCGAAGCAGCGCGGAGCGGTGACGCGCTGCCTTTGCGAGCAGTGTGTCATGTCACTTTCTTCTCTGCACCTCAGCTTGCGAGAGCTCGCAGAGCTGAGCGTGCCGAGATGAACAATTTCAACTTTAGCCAATCGGCTCGCGCGTATAAACCGGCGTGACGGGATGCGACGTCTGGCTGGTTGTTACAGACGAGCCGATTGGCTGAAGGTGCAGTCAATCATCTGACTGCACTCACACTGCACGCGAAGCTCCGTGCCGGAGAGCTTTGCTTCGCTCTGCACGGCTTCGCGTGCAGTGTGTCACGGCCTTTACTGCGCTTTACATATGGTCTTTGCAGACTGTTCCCCAATATACATCTGGAATTTCTAGTGCGTGATTTGCTTCACCTTCACGAGCTTCAGTTCCCAGACAAATGTCAGACGGAGGGCTAACAAAGCAGCAAATAGTGCCACTTGACATACTGTATAATGAACAGCACAGAGAAGGTTACAAAGGAAAACCTTATTATTCAAAGCAAGAACCCTTATATTGTCTCTGCACATGATATACATGCTGTTGTCAGGTACATGTAGAATTTAAAAAATGCCCCAAGTGTGGCCACTTCTTTAGTATAGTGTGTATGTTGATGGGGGACAAGTGTCACCATGCAAAGTTTTCCCACAGCCTAGCTAAAAAAGTAGAATTAAGAGCAATCCACCCCATCCTGCTGAGGAGCTGGGGTGCGCCATGCGTCGCGCTGGTCCTCACCCCAAGAACAGGTACAAGCGCACTCCCTCTCTCTAGACCCATGCATGTGTAGTGTGCTGTCCATCCCCCTGGAGGGAGAGTGCACCGTGCGTGTGCGGGTCTTGAAAGAGGGAAAGCACTCATTCCTGTGATGATGGGGGCATGCCTAAGTGTACGGTGTGTTCCAGATCCTGGGACGGATGAGGTCTATTGTTTCCAATGCTAGTTTTTCAGCCAGGCTGTGGGAAATCTTCCAATGGGGACACTTGTTCTGTGACAAATGTCTAACGGGATATTCCTTAAATTAGAAAGATATCCTTTCACTTTCTGTTAAAGCTAAAGGACAGGAAGTTAAGGGAAATCTCCCTACTGAGACCCAGATGGCAAAAAAAAACTGTCAATGATTGTAAACTGCTATTTTATCCAAAATGAAAAAATACTGTATATGTATACTTTAAGATTCCTAATTGAAGCTTATTCATATGTGTTTGCAGCAAGCATGCTAAAACTGAATATAAGTAAATAATGAAGTCTAATAAATCCTGGTCAGTATCCGAGAAGCTTGCACAGATATGGTTGCCCAAGGTAATAAAGTTGACATGTGCTATGGAACAAAGATGACACTCCCCTCTTTCTTCTGTGTAGGTCTGCACCCTGACAAAGGAGGACAACAGGACAGTGGGTAAGATTGCTGAAGATGAACAGCTCCATGTGCTGCCCCTTTACAAAGTCTGTGAGACAGATGAGTTTGGGAGTGAAGAGGCTCAGGTAGAAAAGATCAGGAAAGGAGGAATACAGGTGCTAACTTCCTTCCCTCGAGAGGTCCGTAAGCTTCCTGAGCCCGCCAAGTCTTGCAGACAGAGGCAACTGGAGGCAAAGAAGGCAGCTGCTGAGAAGAAGAAGCTCCAGAAAGAGAAACTAACAACACCAGATAAGCCCAAGCAGGAGCCAGAAGACATCAAAATCAACCAGCACCAGCAGAGCCCAGGTATGTTATGTCTTGGTATGTTAGAGGGAACATTGCTGGTATGAACTTTGGGCCTTTACTTAAAAGGAGCTGTATAGGCATCAGCAAACATTAATTGCAATTGGGTGATGGTGAAGTCATATGTTAGCTCCCAATGTTCATCTGAAATCAGACAACATTTGAATTAGCATTAGAATTCTGCATTCAGCAGGCCTTATGTAGGGCCTGCGTCAACGGCTTCTGTTCACTTCAAGCAGATTTTGCATTCCAATACGTTTTTGGTAATGCAAAAACTGCTTGAAGCAGGTCAAATGCAGGTTAATTGCACCCGTCAATGAATTCCTAATGATCTCAAGTGTTTCCAAATGATATCAAATTGATGCAATTGACACAAACCCAATGCTTGTTGAAACGTCCCTTGGTAAGGACAAAGTGAACTGGTGTTCACAACTATCAAATGATCATTTATTTGCAGTAATAAGGAATAAAAAAGCTGGGGTCACTGGGGATTACTGCACATCACAGCTATTTGTGCTGAGTTATTAAAAAAGTCTGCTGTGTCTCAGTATGCTTTAATGATCTAGAGAGTTTGCATTTAACATGGCCTTACTAATAGCTCTGTATTCACTTTTTCCTTAGGTGTGACCCAGCAACCAGCTAAGCCTTGCATTAAAATGGAGCCTCCTAATCACTACAATAACTTCAAGTATAATGCAAATGGAGTTGTTGAGAGCTACTCGGTTTTGGGCAATTGCAGGCCTTCAGATCCCTACAGCATAAACAGTGTTTACTCCTACCATTCTTTCTATGCACAACCACCTCCACTGCCTTCCTTGAATGGATGTCATTCAAAATATGCTCTTCCTTATGGATATTACAACTATTCCGGTAACCCTATGGTCCCTTCCCAGTATATGGATTACAGTCCTGGTGATGCAAAGTCTGGTGGGTGGATGAATAACAAGAAGTCTGAAATACAGTCAGGGTCAGAAAGTCAGGGCTATGGAAATGATCAAAACCATGGGAAATCTGGAGACAACAGATCAACCAGCACCCCTCACCGGACTACTCCAGTAGATACCACTCCATATTTCAACAAAGTCATTAAGAAGGAACCTGTGAATGATTACTCATATGATCCATTCCAGAGATCCCCAAGTGTCCATTCTCTCAGTCCCGCTTTGAATCTCTCAGTACAGAAAAACGATCAGGCCATACCCTATAAAGCGAATGGAGCGTTGTCATCTTCTGAAAGGACAAACTCAGAGGGTTCTCAAAGTATGTATATGACCAGTGAAAAAGCAAATTTAGCAAATGGTCTAGATAAGAGAGATTATTATGGTGCCCAAGCTCATGGTGTAGGATTTAAGAACTATCATGGACAACACAAACAGTGGGGAGCATATGGGTTTGATGCTCAGGCAGGTCAGCGTGACTCAAACACTCCAGGAAAGGTTTGGAGCTCATGCAAGCTCGGGGACAGTTCTGCTAACCTGATCTCTTCTGAAAATGCTCAGGACAAGAACTGGAATGGTGGTCGAGCCATAAAGCAGACTACAGCATTCCAGGAAAAACTCTGGAATTCAGTTGCTAGTAATGATAGGTGTAGTGTGACACCTAGTGGAATGCAGGACAAGTCATGGAATATGTTTGCTGCTCCAGCCACTCCATCTACCCCTTTAAAATCAGATGGATGGGATCCATACAGTCTAGATGATAATATGGAGGACACTCCTGTGAAGAAAGAAGAAGAGGATGATGAAGAAGAGTGGTCAGACAGTGAGCACAATTTCCTGGATGAAAATATTGGAGGAGTTGCCGTAGCTCCAGCCCATGGCTCCATTCTGATCGAGTGTGCCCGGAGAGAGCTTCATGCCACCACACCCCTGAAGAAGCCCAACCGTTGTCACCCAACCCGCATTTCATTGGTATTTTATCAACACAAGAATTTAAACCAACCTAACCATGGACTGGCACTTTGGGAAGCCAAAATGAAGCAACTGGCAGAAAGAGCACGGTTAAAGCAAGAGGAAGATGCCAGATTAGGCATCAAACAAGAAGTCAAAAGCTTAGGGAAAAAGAGAAAGTGGGGAGGTGCTGCCACTACAGAAACCCCACCAATCGAGAAGAAGGACTCCACCCCAACTCGACAAGCAGCTACTATCCAAACAAACTCTTTTACCACTGCATCCTCTTACGCCTATACCAAGGTTACGGGACCATACAATCGCTGGATATGAGATTAAAACAGCTGCCATCGTGGCCATTGTACCTCAACTAATTGTCAGCACTGTAATATATGGTGCTATTCTTGGTGCTTTTTTACTTGTGTACAGCGGGGAATCCTGTATTTGTACACACCTCCCAGGACTTAACCCTTGAGCAAGAGAACTTTAACTGTATAATTTTTTCCAATTAATCTTAAAAAGATTTATATCTACATTTTTTTTATAAAAAAAAACCTACTGTTGTACAACAGATGAGAAGAAAACACATAAAAATCATGGCATCCTTTTACCACACACACACAAAAATAGATTTTTAATTGCATTGAAACATATATTTATTGGATTTTTATAGATCAACAATGGTGCAGAAGCTACAGCTCGAAATATGTCGAAATATTTTTTTTAAGCTACTAGGAATCACAGATGACAGACCACCGTAAATTTGCTTGCAGATTTTATTATTATTATTTTTTATTTTCATTTTTACCTTTCTTGCAGACGGTAATCACTATGCGGGCTAGACCACACGGATACAGTATCCCTTGTGATATGAGTTCTTATCAGCAGATTTTAATCAAAACTTTTGACAAGAGCATGTCAAATATGAGCAAGCTTTGCAAGGAATTCTGTCACCTACAAAGCAGTAATACAGATGTGTTGGAAGGTATGACTGCTTGAAAAAAAGAAACAGAATCAGCGCAGCAGTCTGTAAATTTTAAATATATTTATAAAACGTAATTTAAATCACTGAACAAAAAGCGTGGCTTCCTCATGTAAATTTACATCAGGAGTCGGATGAAAGGACATAGGAATAAATTATTCTCTGCGTTGAGAGCTTTTAATAATGACCATATTGGAGTTTTACTTTTTTGTTTCTCCTTTTGCTGCTTATAATTTTCATACCAAAATGAAATGATAATCAGACTCTCTCAAGTCACTTTATATACACATCTGTGTTTCTGTCTTATAGGTTCTTAGTTAAAATAAATAATGATATATTTACCTAAGCACAGGTTCTGATGCTGCAGTAAAATGAAAGTATATCTAGGGGCCCCAGACTTTTTCTTTTTTATAGTTTTGGATAGAGTAGAGAATGGCTAAAACCCTTTTCAGGTTGTGCCATCTGCGCCCACTGGGGAGATTTATCTTGACTTGTCCCGTAGACACAACAGGAAGTTGGGGGAAACCTCATCAAAGCAAGTGAGATACTCTCACTTGCTGGCTATTAACTGGTAGATTTCCAGAGGGACTTTTGTATGAAAGATCTTTCTTTATCACCCAATAATGCCATCAGATACTTGACGAATGTCGATCAAAATTTTGTTTGCGTACTAACGTTCAGTTTTGGAATTAATGGAGTTTCCTGAACGAAAATGACATTCACGGTTAGAATTTTGTTCGTTCGAGAAAATGTTTCCATCCTGCTCCAAGTTTTTTCATCACTATGGTGGAAATTGATTGTCAATTTGACCCCATCAGCTAATGGAAAGTGGAAAGAAAGATCTTTCGTATGAAAGTTCTTTTGAAAATCTAAGCAGTGTATGGCCAGCTCTAGACGTCCTCTGCAACAAGTGTCTGCTACTTCACCTCCTGTTATGGTGACAACTTTAAATGTTTCCTTCGCTTTCAGTCCTTGTGACAAAAGCCACTCAGACAAATAGAGAAGGTTAATCTCCTCACCTGGGACAAAGACAGCAATGAAAACCTGACAGGGTTACGAAGGCTTCCCTACTCTACCGAAAGCAAGAAAAAAATATATAGTTTTAGCTTTGGACAGACTTTAAGTCAAATCAGAAATTGAAATTGTGTAACAAAAAGGGCTGCTGTATCTTTCATCCAATTAAAACTGTGAATAGATAGATACACATGTTCTTTGTATTTTATTCATAGTATATATGGTGCTGATAGACTCTGGGGCATTCTCTGTTTCATTAAAATCAGTGGGGCTGTCACGCAGACCAAAATATCTTGGATTGTTTTTTTTTGCCATTTTCCAATGATTATCTCTTTTAGGATAGCTGATCATATAGGTTTTATTTTTCTGGGTTGGGAGGGGCATCTTTTTTAATTCCCATTAGTCTGGATAATTATTGCAAAATAGTGGTGCTACACTGTCAATTACAGCAACAATTTTTCGAGGGGGTGGGGGAGGAGGGGGTAATGATGCGGGAGGGACTGGAAAATGCAGGTGCTACAAATAATAAGTGATTAAATAAAAGAAAAGTATTTTTATGAACATAGTTGGAATAAGACTATCTAGATTTTTAAGGAGGTAAATGTAATAGCTTCTAGACTGGATAGAGTTGCCAGATCGTGCCAGGGAAAAAATAAAAAAATCTAAATAAACATTGCACCTATGCTGTCAGCCACTCCTGTTATCGGGTGGTTAATAGCTCACAGAATGTAAATCCAGTGATAATTTGCTTATTAATGACTATTTTTTATTTTAGTTTAATTTAGGTATACGCACGGACTAGAGCAGCATTTAGCAATGTAAAAGAAAAACATGCCTCCTTATCCCACTAAAGCAGACCTGTACTGAAATGTTAACATTAAGTTATGCTAATATTCTTTCTGGGATGGGATAGATAAGGAAAAAGTATTAGGCTAAAATACTTACTGTTCTTAAAGAAAATGCTGCTGCAGGTGTAGCAAATATATGAATAAGCCTCCCAGCAATGTTATTAGGCTGCAGGTAGGGGGAGAACAAATGTTTAGAGTGTGACTACAGGACAGCATTACCATTAGACTCACATTAAACTCAGGATGCAAGTAAGCAACACATGGTAGTCTACTCTCCTTCGCCTAATACAGATACTGCAGGCTGCATCCTCGTTACACCTTGTACTCTGACTACCAACAATCCTGTAACATTTGGGGGCTTGTCCGGGATCTCCCACCTCGCTTTCATTTTTAGATGCTTTTTCTTATGAAAGACAAAACCTGTTTTTTACCTGGAGCAGGTATGCCACACTTTTGTCTACCACTCTGCATCCTTCTTCTCCCTGCAGGTGTTCGATGATGTACTCTCAAGGTCATTTGAACCTGTAGTTTGAGGAACCTCTTTGCCTTCTTCCCCTGCATCAAGACAGCCAGTGAGTGCAGATCATTTTCAGACAGCACATGCAATAGCTTCTGAATGTGCCACTGTAGCTTCTGGATTAGCCATTAGATGGATTAGCCATTTTGTGTTTGGTGCAGCCTCCCGGAAGTCTTCACTTGCATTCTGAATTTAATATGAGCCTGAAGGTATTGTTCTCCTGTGGGCACACTCTAAATATTAGACTTCCCCCTAGTTGCAGCCTAGCAATAACATTGCTGGGTGGTCTATTCATATACCTTCTACACAGGATCCTTGTAGTGCTGGCCACATGTCTGAATGGCCTGTGTATTTGGTCATGTGATCTCTGCTAAAAGCAGTATTCAGGTTAACTCATCTTGCCTTTCAGCAGGGCTCACATGGCCAACTGGCATCAACTTCGAGATGCGGCCAGCAGTAAAAGAAGTCTGCAGCAACATTTTCTCCAGGAAACAAAAGTGTTTTATTGTCATGTTAACATTTTAACATATGTATACTTTAAATTTCTGTGCAGCACTAAAGTGAATGATACTGAGTATCTGAATGTTCAGTTCAGGCAAGCTATAGGCTAGGTATCCAGACTCCAAGTCTGTTTTCTTGCTTAGCAAGGGATTTTTTTTTTAATAGAGGTTAATTAAAAAAAAAAAAAAATAATACATCCAACTGTCTGAATGAACAATGGTATATCTGGTTTACCTAAAATTATTATTCACCCAAAGCCTAGTCCACATCCAATATGCAATTAGGTTATGAGGAAGGTTCTTTTTATTTTTTTTCAATTTCGCTAAATCTAAGTGACTATGTGAAGTGAACACAAGAGTGAAAATCATCCCTTCAGTACATCTGACCATGTGTGCGCAGAACCCGGGAGCTTTAAAATAAATACACAAACAACAACATAATCGCTGTAAATAAAATATAGTAAAGCACAAACTAGAAAAAAGTTGTGCCGGTAAATTTGAAAGAACACTTGCCTAAAAATGAAAAATAATAATTCTTATCATCTCTCAAACTCCAAGATTATGGAAGCGGGCTTAGAATGCTTCTTGATTAAACTCAACTAAATTGACACTGTAAGGAAGATGACATTCCCTGTAGATGAGCCCTTGCTATCGGTTGCAGTGTGCTGTAGTCTCTCTGGAATGAATGACATTGGTGACTTTACAAATACACACATTGTTCAGCCTCTTAAAATCCCTGCCTTACTTTTTAAAGCTTAAAGGTGTGTTAACAGCCCAAAATGTATAAAGCATTTGTAAACCCTTTGCCAGCAAGATAGTAAATGTCCTCCTTGCCTGTGTCTAATAGATCCTGTATAACAAATAGCCAGGAATCTTCTAAATACCTGTTTTATATGTATTTCCAGCAGTCATATAAATGCTATCTTCATTTGGGAGGTGAGAGCTTCAAGGGCTGTGGGTGGAGAATGTCAGCAGAGCTCACCATCTTATGCTGATGTCATACCTGACCATCGTTATCAGCAAGACTCCCTTACAGAAGCTGCTGTTACCCATGCTCTTCTGGACTGATAAGCGTTGCTGTCAGTGATACAATTTAGTGACTACACTGACCATGCCAGTAGACAACCAGTGAAAGCCCCAAGGGGGGCTGACACTCTACCACTGCTCTAGGAGCCAGTAGATATAATTATCACCCTATAACAGGAAGTGCTTGGAGGATTAAACTGGCAGAATCAATGGGTAATATACTATGTGTTTTACTAATTTATAAACTGCAAACAAAATCAAAGTGGAGAACTAGACTGCAGTTATACAGAGGGAGCAAATGGCACACTTTTAATTTCTGAGTTTACAAACATGTTAATATATTATTGAATTCCATTTCAGTATGCTAACTTGAAAATATTCATGGCCACCAAAACCATATATGAGTTAAAGTGACACTATACCTGGGAGTTAAATCTTAAAAATGCATTCAAGTACCTGAACTGTTAACAAAAATGTATCTTATTTGTGGATCCTCAAATCATCTCTGAATTGGTGCTGACACTGTCCTTCCTTCTGGAGGGTGGCTACTTTTGTTCCCCATGGTCCCTGTGTGTTGCAAAGTAGCCACCACTCCACGCTCACTCCCGTGATGGACTACAATTTCACATTTAGTTTACTAATTTGTATTGAGATTATAGTCCATCACATGAGTAAGCTTGGAGTGGTGGCTACTTTGCAACACACAGGGACCATGG